TTTTGGAGTTCGTAAATCGTCGGCGTCAGAAAGGACTGAAGTTCCGCTTTTACACTTCGTGAGTTTAGGACTGCTTTGACCCTCATCTTCATTTTTGACGTATTTAAATGATATTATATTAAAATAGGATATTAATGAATTTTATGATTTTTTATGTTTTATACAATCATGACGGATTAGTCTTGATGCTAAAAGATTTTTTGTATGTTTTATTTATCCATTTTTACGAATGCATTGAATGAGCCATTGGACCCTCCATGCCTTCCTATTCGTCCGGAATGCAGGAACCTCTCAGCCTTCTCATATTTCAAATCGATCTTTCCTTTTAAAATCCCCCATTTCTCCTAAACAAATTTGGAGTGATGAATTTTTTTTTGCTCTGTACAAGTATCTGCAAATTATCGCGATTTTGCAAAAAATATGCTATTCCTACTCCACTTTCTCTTAAATTACGTGCTTTTTATCTCAATTTTAAAGGAAATAGCAGTTTTTACGCTACCTCGCGGGCGCGGATTTCTATTTCTTGAAATTTGTTTTTGGGGCCTTTCAGTTTTTGCATGCAACTGATTGCGACACACCGGTCGCGTAGTCGAGAAGTTTTCCAGACCCATAACACTTTCTTTGTCCCAGTTTTTTGTGACCTCATAATATTAAAGTGTACAATTTTAACCCCCATAAGCCGAAGCAGGGCCAAAGTGACCCGACCATCTCCTCTGCGGGAGTTATAAGGCCAGTACTGTCGTGCTTTAGACATAGGTCTACAAATACATCCTAAGATACATCCCTGTACAATCAGACATCAAATTGAAAAAAAGAACATTCTAGCATCAATACAACAAAAAATGGGGGATAAGTATACATTCAGGGCTCGTTTTTTAACTTCCGCGTATGGACGATACCTCATTGACAGCATAAAACAGAGCTGTGCCTGTGCGAGTTCACGCCTCGCGCCATCGCGCCTTCAATTTTGCTGATACAATACGGACATCCATTAAGCACGAATAGTCGTATCTCTGCGCCGTCATCAATGCCCGCCTTTTCCGTTTCCACGTTGTGCCGGTTCCGTTTGTCTTATTTGCAGTAGTGCTTCGAGAGATACGTGTGCAATTCTTGCCGCAATCACACGCTGAATGTGGGAGCTGAATGTGGCTTGAATGTGGAAGTCATCGGCCCGATGCCTGAATTTTGCGCGTCTCGCGCAAAATTTCTCGCGCAACGATTCTCAGCAACCATTGGACTAATGTTGGATTTGACTGAACTATTCGAGTAGATTTGATACACATCTGGATGAAAATAACTTGAATTTGCTAAATTACAGCCGTTGGGCGATGAATGTTGACTTCCACATTCAGCTGCTAAATTCAGCGTGTGATCGCGGCAACAGACGAAAACAGGATAGACGTAATCGGGCCTTGTTTTTTTAATTTTTCTTCCGAATCGGAGCAACACCTCATTGGCAGCACGGAGCGGAGCATCGAGAGTTCGCGCCTCTTGCGCCATCGCGCCTTCAATTTGGATTAGCCACCTTGGACGTATGGATTGCATTTTACGAAAAGGAACCAACACCATTCCAATGTCGCTAAGATTGTGCAACTTTTTTTACCGTGCAGGTATAAACTGATCATAGAAACAAATTTTATTTTTACTCCCAATAAACTATAAATTCAAGACGAAAATTGAGTTTGTAAATTTGATTCTTTGCGTGATTTCAGTGATTTCTTTGCGAAGGATGCAAGTTGCATAATCCTAGCAACATTGGAATGCTCTTGGTCCCTTTTTGTAAAATGCAATCCATATATGGATTGCATTGCATTCTGCTAAATTACTGAAATTATGCAAAAGATTAAATTTACAAAGGTAATTTGCGTCTTGAATTATAGTTTATTGGGAGTAAAGATGAAACCTATTTAGATGCTCAGTTTATATTTGCACGGTAAAAACAAGTTGCACAATCTTAGTGACGTTGGAATGCTCTTGGTTCCTTTTTGCAAAATGCAATCCATATATCAAGTACGAGTAGTTGGATTGCATTTTTCAATAAAGAACCACTTTTTCTGGCTTTTCCATAAAGTCACATATCTGCATAGGGAAACCAATGGCATGTATGCTGTTTCAAAAATGGACCAGAAATATTTGTAGTATCTCCTTATCGCAAAATGTAATCCATCTCTATCTCTGCGCTGTAATCAACGCGCGTCAACGTGTCTTTTATTTTTTCAATGAGACACCCTACTAAGGTATTTAAATACGGGTATTTGTCCTGATTTGGGTCTTTGCGCACAAAAAAGTCTTTTGCGTCTAAGAGTTAAGGTCAGCCTACCTCAACAGACCTGAGTTTTCAAAATAACGCTAAATACTGCACAAAATTGATTAAGTAAAGAAGAGCTGTCTTTCGTTGTACCGAGAAAAAAAAATTGTTGCATTGAGGAAACAACATATCGCGCTGAATTAATTTTATGCGGTAACTGCCACGTGTACAACATGGGAAGTCTGGAAAAAACCCCTTAGAAACCATTCAAGAGAATCGCGTGCACTTGTGGCGTACGCCGTCGCCGATTTTATCGCAAAAACTCGCATCCTTTAAGTCCTTTTCCTTGCTCTTCCACCATTTAAATCCTTACAAATAATCGACTTTAGCTAAAGTTACCTACCTCGATGTATCGATTATTTAATACGCATTCAAACGGGCAAAACCAACGTTGCCATTATGCCAGCATTGCCACGGCGAGTTGACAACGATTGTGGCGTGCGGTTTAAAAAAAAACCTCCCGTCAATGGTGTCGTGTATTCATGGTTAATCGTGAGTGCATTCACGTAATCAGTCTCGTTCTCCGGAAATGGTCTTTCAAGTTAGCGCGCGCGGATTTGAATTTGTACTCATCTCGATAAAACTTCCGCGTGCCCCGGCGTATCCAAGGTTGCAGGATCGTGCTCGTTAAATTGAGAACAGGCCGGTCTTGGAAATTTAATTTCGAAGGTTGGCAACCATGCGCGTGAGGGGTCTGCTGATTGGTTCGTGGTGGGATTTTGACCGGGAACACGGCAAATCTTTCAGAATCATGAGTCGTATCCTAACATGTAATAGAAGAGAGTTCGTCATCAACATGCTCCTCCAAAAAATATGACGTTCATTCAAAAATAAGACCCGCGATCACAGCGAATTTTCAAACTGTATTTTTTCTCAAAAAAGAGAAAACTTTATGTTCTATTTACTTACTCATTTTATTTGAGACCGCCTTTCGGCAATCGATTTTATAAGAGAGGGATCTCGATTCTTCTTTATTTATTTATTTTTTCTTTTTTTCAAAAAATTAAGTCCCTCAAATAGAGATTCTCCCGTCGGAAACGCACTGAAGATAGTTTTAAGTCAAGAGGTGAAGATCTGTGGGAAGTTTGATGTATAGGCATAAACTCGTCTGGTGATCGAACACGACTTAATACGAGGAAGCTGAACGCGTAGAAAAATGAAGTTTTTGTATTGTACTAACGGCATAACACTTACAAAACGGAAAGAAGTAATAATCGGTCGACTTTTATTTATTTTGAGTCCGTTTTTAATCATTCTGTGTTAAATACGAAATCTGGCAGTTTTTTTCAAAAAATTGAGCGCATGAATTTGGGCATCTAGAATATTTTTTTTTGGTCAGCTCCCATAGAAATTCATTTCTTCAGTATCCATTTTGCGTTGTATTCTCGCCGAACCGCAATAAATTTTCATGCGTCACTTCAATTTTCTTTTCCATCATGGTGAAATTATTGATTTCGCTTTTTTTTTTTTTTTTTTTTTTTTTTTTTTTTCAAAATTTGTCATTTTTCGTTTTCGCATCTCGCCCTCTCTGCCTTTTTAACCGAACCAGGAGTCTGGGATTCCAACGAGTTGGATAACCAGGGAAGGAGTTGGTTATCCAACTTTGGTCCCGTTTCGTCGGCTACCAGTAAATATATGTGAGTGAGTTGTGAGTTGTGGGCGATAGGGGAGGGAAATGAAAAAGAATGGGAGAGGGAGGACGCGTATGGCGAGTTTCTACCTCAGTTATTCTTCCCTCATGCCGGTCGCCAATAATTTACGCACGGGAAAAGGGATCTAGGCTTTTTATATGCAAATAAAAATATCTTTCACGATATCTTCCTCCGTACGTTCCCGCTAATTAGAATTTTTTCTTTGCGTGGCAGCACCAGATTACGGCTGCTTTTCTAACCCTTTTGTGGCATTGTAGAAAACAAGGGGAGCTTTCTCTCCTTACAAGTGCCCAAGTTAAAAGTACCTGTAAACCGTACATGAATCCTACAATTTTTTCCGACTCTCGGCGTTCCAGGAATGACCTATTGGGATAAAAAAGCATGAAAGTGGGTAATAGACTATCTAACAGTATATACACATACCACTCAAACATGGTAGCCAGCACCAGTTCCCTGGTAGTACCTAATAGACAGCTAAAAGATCTACTAAACTTCTGGTTAACCGGATCAACTTTCAGGAATCCAGAGTACCGGTCACTAGATTCTGCACCAACAACAGTGTAGTTCCTCCTCTCCACCTCTATTTTTTCCGTTTACCTTTTCTGTCACACAGAAAATGAAAAAAATATTTGATGTATCGTTTTTGCGTGTTAAATAACTAAATTAAATTGAAAAAGAAACAAAACTTTAGGCAAGACTTGATTTTTCAATTTAAAAAGAAAAATCCTGATAAACACACTCAATCTGCCCTACTTTAGATACACGTATGAATTATGATCGATAACGCCTACTTAAAGCGCTCATGTATTTAAGGCATTATCATTGACAAAATTAAAAAAAAAGAAGAAAAAAAAAACCACACACACGAACATTCATGAGTCTCCGGTAATACGAGTATCCTGTAAGTTTTAGTTTTGTTTTTTGATCTATGTTGTTAGTACGACGATTCGTCCGTGTTCAAATCTCTAAACCATAATGTTTTTCTGTTCGTTTATTTACGCTCTCTTCTCACAGTTCTTATGTTTTTGTATGAATTGCAGCAAGACTACAACAGCACGACAGGCAGCTGGAACGCTTACGCGTATAACAGGTTGCACTCCGGGTGGAATGACATCACACTACCGGTGCAGCCTAGCGAATCCTTCACGAAGAAGATGTGGTACACAATAAAGAACCTCGAGCCGGCGGCCCAATACGAGGCCCAAGTGCAAGCCAAGAATCGCTTCGGTTGGAACCAGATTTCCGACAAGTTCTCGTTTTCCACGCGAGGCGGTAAGTGTCCTCTCTCTCTCTCTCTCTCTCCCTCTCTCCCCCCCCTCTCTCCCCCTCTCTATCAAAAGTCCCTGGAATATGTGGTCAGTAACATACTGCCTAAACATGCTAATATTTATACAGGCTCTTTGACTCCCTTTTATATATTTTGTCATATCGTCACCTTCCCGCCAAAGTATCACAACCGCTATGCCACGTTTAAGCATTTCCGCCGCCATTTTATTTTTTTTACAGAGAAATTTTTGGTTGAATCTGTTTGAAAATTTCACTCTTTTTCATCCGCTGCTCAGAGGAAATTCTGTGAAATTTTTGGACAGCTTTGTTGAACAATTTTTATGTAAAAAAATAAAATGGCGGAAATTTTTAAACACCACATGGCGCTTGTGATACCTCGGCTGGAAGGTGACCGACGGAGCACAGGGGAGAATTTCATGAGCCGCCCTGCGCCGTCCGCAGCGCGCATGGCGTACGACCTGCCTTTCATAATTACACTTCATCTAGCCTTGAGAGTTCACTTATTACTTCACACGACCAGTGTGTAATTTTGAAAGTCGAAAATTAAAAAAAAAACATTGAAAAAAGATAAAATTTTCACGATATACGAGTCGCTTATACGATATACGAGTCGGGGGCGCCACGGCGCGGCGTGCTGCGGCGATACGCGCACTGACGCCTGCAAACCTAAGGGGCTACTTCACGCATTGCGCAATGCTTGAAGTATCCCCTTAGGTTTGTAGGCGTTAGTGTGCGTTCCGAGCTGGCAAGCGGCGGCACGCCCACCCATAGAAGCACTCTGCGCCGCAGCGCAGCGTCCCATGAACTTGCCCACAATTAATAGGTCAGGGTGTGAAAATGTAGGCAATTTGACATCGAATTCGAAATTACCGACTCAAAAAACTATCAGTTCCGAATCTTCCGTGATCTTTCAGTCATTATCCGACTTAATTCCTCATATTCTTGAGTTTTGAACCATAGTGCGCCGCGGGCGGCGGCGCTCACGAAATTCTCCCGTGTGCTCAATCGGAAGGTGACGATGTCTTGTCCCTGACACTTTGTCACCAGCGAAATTGTGTCCAAACACAAGTTCCAATCACAAGTCGTTTTTTTCCTTTTAGTTTTCTCCGGTTTGGGATTGTTCCTTAGGCTCCTTCATTATGCGTGACAGTCTTCACTCAAGAAAAGAAAACATCGATCCATAAGTACTTCCTTAGAAAAACTTGCCCTTTAAACTGCTCAATCATGAGCCATAATATCATTTGCTCATCGATCACCAACTGTTGAAAAACAACGTTGATTTCCGAAACTAACTTTCGCTGATACCCGTTGAGATCACATAAAGAGAGCAAGTTCGAGGCATAATATTTCTCCCCTGGTATATATTCTCCCCCGCTGACAACCCTGTCCTCTGAAACATACCAGCTTATGAATTCATAACCAACACTGCCCAGCTACATCATCTCATTCTGGCAAAACTGGAAGCTCCTATAAAAACAGACGCATGATGAAAAGGGTTAAGGGTTGTGTGGAGGGCAGGTTGAAGTGATAGTCAACTTTTCTGCCCAGTACTCGTTCCAAGAAACTCGTACATCGCCGGCGTCGTCAAATTTTAGCTCGCCTCTTTTTATACGAATACCAGCTATTCAGCATGCCTTGCCCCCGCCTTAAGTACCTTGCGTTGTTCCCTCACGTCATTTCTTTCGCTTATGATAGGCAGGAGGTCGTAGCACGCCTGGCCACTCAAGCGCCGCGGTTGTAAAGGACAGAATCCCTCTCGTGCGCTCAGCCTGAGCCGAGGTCCGAGTTGAAAATGCTGGAGAGGGCCGTGAAACATGTATGAATACCTGTAATCAAAAAAGACGAAGACGCCCTAAAGCTTACAAAGATAGAAATTGTGTGGCCATTCATTTGATGCTCCCTTTTTGGATTTTATGATATGGATTGAAACCAAGGGGGCCTTCAAACTAGGTACAAGATCGAGCGTTACGCAATATTTTTTCTCCTCGAGAATTTGCACAACGAGAAGTCTGAAAATCAACTTCCTTGTAAGATACGTGTTGAAGTTTACAACTATAACATTGGCTCGACGGTAAAGTACAAATGACGTCATTTTCACATTCTAACTTCCATTTGATCTGTGTTAAAAATATCGGTAACTAATGTCTCGTTCAGAATTGATAGCCAAACGTCCCGGTGGGTGATAAGTATTCTACGCAAGATTTTGAAGAGAGAGCATGTGACGTTTAAATTTCTATCGTCTGGTGGGCTATTTTACAGTTGGCCCATTTTTGATGCCTCCTTATTTTTAATGTTGTTATTATTTGCATGGAAAGAATGAGATCGTTCGACCTTTTCGTACAATGTTTACCGTTTCCACGCCAACGCGTTTGAGATTAAAAGTCTAATGGATACATTTTTTACGTATTTTACTTTAAATTTTAAATAAATACATGCCGGATTTCTTTTCCTATGTAGATAAATTTAAAGAACTCGCTCATACTCTCAGGGTATTCGGTTTAAATAGATGGCGAACTAATCTTAAACAATAATATGGGAGCTAAAAAAAGTAGCTATACCTACCTAATGCTCCATTTTTTATTCTGAGACGTTTTCTGAGACGAGATTTTCTTGAAACGCTTATCTGTCAGTTTTCTTAAAAAGTGTCACATAACTCTCTTCCCTCATTCGTAATGCTTTCCAGAAGTAACTAGCACTGCTAAGCATATAGTTCTGTGTTTTTTAGTATCATTTGAAGCAATAAGTGTCCGCGGATAAGATCCTGTAGAGACATTTACTGTATCTACGAGTCAAAACAAAAATAGCACATCGCATTGGTCTTTTATGTCAGTCGATCAATTGTTGTAATAATTGTTTTTACATTTTTTGCATCTCAGGTAAACCAAAGCTTGCACTAATGAATTTCATGTCTTTATTTTGTTGTAGAATCGAACTCAGTCTACGATTCGCAGTCGATATATTCAGGTTAGTAATCATCCTTTTAGTTTGAATATTTATCTTTCCCGGGGTTTTAAGTTGGTGACGTGTCCTGTACCCTGCCAACTTGAAGCGCCTTCCGAAAGCAGTATATGCAATATCATGTTGTTCGGAGCACGTTATGTTACCTATAAATTTTATTGAAGGAGCCCTCCGAAACTTCACGGATGCACGAATCCAAGAAAAAAGAAGAGAAAGTAGAGAGGCTGCTTCCGAGTTAATGCCGTCACCTTCCAGCCAAAGTATCATTAGCGTCATGCGACGTTTCAAAATTTCCGCCGCAGAATCTCTTCGAAAATTTCACTAAATTCTATCGGCATTTCAAAGAAAATTCAGTGAAAATTTCGGATCGCTTACAACAATATCAACAATATCTCTGTAAACAAATAAAATGGCGGCCGAAATGTTGAAAAATCGCATGGCGTTTGTGATACTTTGGCCGGAAGGTGACGATATGTTCCTCCTCGAAAAGGAGAAAAACGCTCATCGAGAACTTTACCTACAGCTTAAACTTTTCGAAATCTGTAGGAGCTTTGTGTGTTAACCTTCTTTCCACCTCAAGGTTGGCCTCAATTTAAGTTTAAGATTTAGAGCTTATAGTCGATAAAATCATTGTTTTAAGAGTAACCGCAAAGTTTCGTAATTTCTAAACTGGTATTTGATTTCTAAGTCGCAGCTCCCCCCGAAAGATTTCTGTATGCGGGACTGAGAGGAAATTAATGTCTTACCTAATTTTTTTTAATCGACTCAATAAGTGAGCCCTCAGCATTTTCATGCCAGTCCTCTATGGATTGAAAATTTGCTTTTGATTTTTCTTGAAATTTGCAATAGACAATGACTCCAACGAGAAGTTAAGAAATGACTTGTTAGAATTGCACATCATAAAATGCCACGGTATAATTTTTCTTCATCTTGCGAGACATCCATAGTCACTTGATATTCAACAAGGTCTTACTGTAAAACCTCTTATTTGCCTTGACTTAATTTTAGTTTTTGTTTTTCTTTTGTTCACAGAACCTGAAATGAGAGACATGGGTGTGATCTTTAATTCAGCTACGTGCCTGTATCAATCTTTAATAATGTCTATAGTTGTTATAGTTTTAACAAGTGCGACGTAAACTAGTTGGCAGGTGAGTAATTATTACTTTAAGTTCTGCTTCTCCTTGCATTTCATCATCGTATTCTTATGAAACGTATTTTTCCGCCAAAGAAAAAAAGAAACGTTGTTCAAAAAAATTTAGTCTTCGTGGGAAATTATTAAGATTCAACAATAACATGACTATTCAACGTAAAAATTAAAAACTTTTGAATGAACGCTCCTCAAAATGCTTGTTTCGTGCTAAATGGATCAATTTAAAGCACCGGCCCATTTTCCTTTTTTTGAAACGTAGGATAACTATGTATAATGATACATTTTTGGTAATCACTTATCACTTGATATTTTTTTTTTCTGTTACAGAATGAATGAAACTGAATCGGTGGGGACCTGCGAAAAATTTTACCACTGAGATTCGGCAGGGTTTCCTTTGACGGTTTAATGTTTTTTCTACTTTCATTTGGTTCTCTTTTGTTTTATTTTCCCATTTTTATTTTTGTATTTATTTAATTTTTCATTTTGCCCTCATTTTCTTACGTATCCCAAGTCGTGTAAATATTACGTGTTCTTTTTCTCTTTTCATGAGCTTTGTATTTCCGATGAAAAGTGATGATGTAAATAGTCGCAGTTTTATGAATCTTGCAGGTATTGTTTTCAAATTTTACCAAGTATTTTATTAAAAAATGTCGATAAAGTGTAAAAAGAATCTAGTCAAAAAGATATTATGTAGGAATGGAGCATTTGAAGCAGACTGTGAGAATGTTCTCCCATTAATTCAATCAGTAGTGTAACTTTCAAATAGCTCCTTTTCCTATTAAACCTTGCAATCACTGCAAATTGTTGAGCTTCCATCAAAGAATGGTGCGTTACTTTTTGAATGTATACCTACCAGCTTTCCACACTCACATACTTGGTTGAAAAAATAAGTGTGCGCATGTACGCGTTTTTTCAAAAAATAAAATCGGTCCTTTAAATCAAAACCTATCGGTACATTGACACATCAATGGTGTAATTGAATTGCGGTTTAAGGTAATTTTACGATTCTTTTGAATTACTTATTTTAATGGTTGACAAAATACATCTTCTACAGCTCATTGATGCAGTTTATACTTAAAACCGTCGAAAATCGAACTACGGACTTATGCAATTTCACCACGGATACGTTAAAACCTCACTCGTCAATTTTCTAATGAATCTTAATGCCCGTAATTTTTTTTATGTCAGTGCTCATCATCAGAGAATAGGCATGAGGTTTTCTTATTGATCAATTTATTTATAAAGTCAAAATTCTGAATTTTTTTTAATCGTAGCTATAAATGTGCCAACATCTCAACAGTTCTGTGCTTGCTCGTTAGAGTACAATTGCAGCTTAAAGATTGCACTGCCGTTTGGGGCTGCCGCGTTGCAGAGTACCTCAGTTGTATAATTCTGTTTCCTGATAAAATATAAATTTTTCTGCTGCCTTTCTTCCTTTAGGTTAGAGTAAAAAGGTACACACTTTCAAAAACAAAGTTTTTTCCCGGTTACTTATTTTATTTTTTTATTTATCAATTCATCAAATGTTTAGAGTACATACGGTTCTATGTACTGTTTTTAAATTCCAATCATGGGATCTATTTGTTTGTCAATTATTGACATAAGAATATTCCATTTTTTTTACTATCATTAACTTAATTGGCTTAATTTTGTCCCCCCAAAAAAAGGAGTATCAATCAAAGGAAACTTTCTAATGGTTTGTTGAGATCCGAGTTATGAAATTCATAGCTGACCTGTTTAAGATAAAATATTGCACCTATTCATAGGAAAAATTCAACCATAAAGTTTCATCTCAGTGACTATACCCATCCAAGTTTTCAGTGACTTGAGACCAGCTGCGAATGACATTACGTTTTCCCAGAAATATTTCGTCTTAACTCTCTCATCTCGAAAAATACATCACATTTACTTCACTCGCGTAACAGATATATAGCCTTTTTCAATTTTGAAGATTTCTTTCCTCTGTTGTTTGAATCAGGTATTTTGTACCTGCTTACCCATGTTTTCTTGCCACTCAATTGTAATTGTAGCTATTTTTAAAAGAGTAAAAATTGTAAAAATGTAAATAGTGAAAAATTGTGATTTTTATGTACAATAGTTATTATTGCATTAATGTGCTATGAGTTTGTAGATGCTGACTTCTTAGGAATAAATTACTTAATTTATCAACGTACTTACCTGCTAAATGTGAAGTAGGTACCAGCTTACGTAAAAGAGTAATAAAATAGAATCATGTTGCACTTCTTCATTTGCTCACCAGAAAAAAAGAAAAGTAACCAATTGAAATCAGATCAAAAACTGTCCATCTACATGTTTTATATTTTCAAGAGGTGGTGTAGACAGGGGATATACTTTAGGCATCCACATGTTTCAATCGACAAAATACTCACGAGTTAATGTTGAAAAAAATGTATGTTCAAGAATGTATTTTGGTTCAAACATGAATCAACGACTGAATTCAAAGAGTGTCATTCGGATAGAGCACCTATTTGAAGATTTCAGTCAAAAATTCTAAGTAGAAATCATTCCCCTAGTAGTTTTTTTCTCTCTCTCTTAAATAATTTGCATCACTGCATGATTAAATTTTTAGATTTTCATGTAAGCGTAAACATAGTCTGAATGACATTAATTTTAAGTTCATTGACAATCAGTCTACAAAAAAAATTGATACGTAGTTTCAAGTGAAAACCCTCAAATCCTGATAGGCGTTCATTTCAATTTTTTTTTGTTTCGTTGTCCAGGAATTGTATTCTTCTTTTTGGCTTCTTACATGTATATACTACACCCAAACTCATTACTTCACTTAAAAAGGATTCCTTAAAGTAGGTAGAACTCGCGTCTAGTAGGTATGTTGACAGTCCTTCAGTTTTGACTGTCACGCACAGAAGCCCAAGTCACGTTTCTTCGCAAGGCGTGGACGTTACCCGCGGCCAATCCTTGATCCTATCGAATGACTGCGTTGCAATCGCTTCCAAACAGAAAGTTAACAACTACCAACTTATCTGACGTAAGTTTTACCCGATTTACTTTTCAAAGAGGGTTTCCACAATAACTGGCCCTCTCTATAGAAATTAACTCTGTTTTAACTCCACAAGGGGCCAGTAACTTGACATTTCAATCAAATTTTTCATGCTTGCATCTCCCATAATGTAACCTTGGTAGGTAGCCCTGAAAATCTCCCAAGTTAATTGAAAATCATGGAGAGATGAAAGGAAGGACAGAAACTGTAGTGGAAGCAATTGTTTTATTTTTTGGTCAGTTGGAGCGATTAACCTTCTCAAACTTGAGTGTTAGGGTGGGGTGGGGGGCTAAAAGTTTAAAAGCTCATACATTTTAATTTTATGAATTGTATGTTATTTCAAGCATCATTTTTTTTCTGTTGAGAATTCATCGCTAATCAGCTGGTTTAATTCACACGATTCAACTGGTTCAACTTACGTTCATTCCTCCCTACCTACCTTCTTCATTATTGATTTCCTGTCACTTGGGAAATTTTAGTAGGTAGGTTTTTGTTGAAACTTTTCATCACGCAAGTTGTTGTTTTCCCCCTTTATTTTTGCATGTTATGTCATAATTTCCGAATAAGGAATTGGCCAAGATTACTTGGTCTAGGCCAATTTGTTTGTGAGCAGTTTAAAATGCAGGTTTTACAATTTGCGAATAAATTATTGCAGATTTATAAAGAAATTTGTTTCTGTGCCAGTTAATTGCTTACTCACAACTGGGTTTCATTGTACACAATACGTCCCTCAAAGAAGAGGCTATTTTTGTTACTTACCAAAACTTTGATGCTTTAGAATAAGTCTCATTGTACGTAAATGTGTTTTGTGTCAAGCTTCTTTTCAGAAATAAATGTGATGAAATCAACCAGAGTTCCTTATTTTTCTTGCATATGTACTGTACGATTAGTGAGATTTTTTTCTGTTTTAAGCGCTCTGCTAAGAACAAGCGCTTTTTCATTTCAATCTGCCACTAGGAGTTCAGAATGTTAGAGCTGCTTCGACTCAAAGATGTACCAACATGAGAAGTTGTCAAAAAATGATACTCTCATTGAGGAAAACATTCAATCCACCTTTGAGAATGCTTGTTCTGTCAAAGAGCAGAAGATATGAATCGTGCTTCTGAAATTCTTTTTACTGAAGATGGTGGTGGTGTTTTTACAAAATTGCCGGCAGAAAAAAACTACGCTAGTTTATTCAACGATATGGTTTTATTTCGAGGGAATAACACATTGAACATTGTCTTATTTGGAAAGTTTAGGTATTATGCAAGATGTAGAACATGGTATCGAATAAAAGACACGTTAGAATATGCAGAGTGAAGTGTTGGAGGACTTATAAACGAGAAAAAAGCTCTACTCTCTCAAAGATCCAGTCACTTGCTGTGTCTCAAAGGCTACTTATCAAGAGACATGAAAAAATGATCAAACTTTTAAATACAATGCTTTATTGGCATCCATCATTTTGCCTCTAGCCTACATCAATACTCCCGTGCCAAGGAAGATCGCCGTATGAGCCTTCAGACGTTGCAAAATTTCCTTCGACAAATCATGCATTTTTGGACAAATTTGTGAATATTTTTCTTCCGATTTTTCTGAGAGTTTTGTTCGTAATTTGAGCAAAAACTTGTGAAAATTTTAAGAAGAAATATATTCATAACTGTCCTCAAAAATAGATATTTTCTGAGAGGAGATTTGGCAAAGCCTTTAGGCTTTTACGGCGTTTTTCCTTAGCATGGCAGAATAGCCAAGTACTACGCACATACCGCCTGCAAAAGCTTACAAAAAATATTCATAATATCACATGTATTTTTTTGACAACAGCTAGATTATAACGAACATTATACAGATGAGTTCTAGATAAAACATCATTATCTTTTAGTTTATAGAATACTTGAAAACCAGGCAATCAATGACAGGTATTATGTGGTTTCAACCGCACAGTGCGGTCCTACTTCCGAAAAACTCAGCAGTTAGGTACCCCTTCATTTTTTACATAATGTGCAACTTAAGCAGTCGTCAAGCAGAAATAGCTGCAGCTATTTCTGCTTTCTGCTATTTCTGAATACATGTATTCAGACCGGAATTTAAGAGTTGCCATTAATTTTGCGTTCGTCAAATGGACTTCTTTTTCCAGTTAGGAACTAAAATATCTGGCTCATCCGTAAAAACACTTATGTACATCGGGAAACTAATGGTACTTACTTTGTTCCTACATTGAGCCAGATATTGTGGTTCCGAATTGCAAAATGTAGTCAGAATAGTCACGGCGTGGTGGCTCAAGTTTCCATTGATATTATATGCAGCTGTTTTGCATTTATCCTTTCATTTAGGTTGTACAACCTATTCTGAGTGTCTTATTCTGTAAAAAAAATTATTCAAAAACAACTTCATAATTTTTTCACGGGGTCTTTTTTTCTCATACGTAAGGAAAGAAAATCACAAAATCATTTCGAGCACACCAAGAAAATAATCAACACGAAAGTTTGGTTAAAACGGGAAGTTAAACACAAAATAATTCAAGCTTTCGGTTGGGACTTCCCAGTTTCTCCAATCTCCAATGTTGTCTTTGCTAAATTTGCCGCAAATTATACTAAAATCAACACAAAATTTTAATTGGTTTGAGTTCTATTTCCTTCACTTACCAAAAGTAACACAAAAACACGATAATTTTTATCAGTGTAATCAAAAATGTTCTCACTCATATCAAAATCAATGCGAGATTTTCATATCTTACTTTCTACTTCTCTTTCTCCCTATTCCTTTCTCTTTTATACACAGAGCGATCCCTACAACCGCCTCCGCCGGTTAAGATCATTCGTAGTTGGTAATGATGTCAACCATACTTGAATATGTGCCGAGCAAAGTCGCAGCTAAAGCAGCTAACATGAGGAGAATATTTTTTAAGCAACGCCAGTCGGTCCAACCTCTTTCTGGATCATAGTAAAGCACTAGATCTATAACAGCAGGGCAGAAAAGTCCCATCATTGAAAAACCAACTGCTCCAAACAGCGATATGATTGGTGCCAGGTTGGGTATCACAGCTGCAACAACGGCTGAAACATAATTTTCAATAGAAGTGTAACAACTACGCTAGCATATCATGGTAAAACAAAATATCAGAAGGAAGATCCCAGGTGATATTTGTAGGCGGAGACAGGGATGGTAACTACTCGACGTAGCAAATAATTAAGCAACTTAATCCATCAACTTTAGTGTACAACACGATGCACCCATTAGATGATCCCAATAATTCACTCTCCCAATAACTCGGGTGACAAGCTTTTTTGTATTCGGAAATTTAACCCTCCCCCATTTTAAAGGTCGATACGTTTATTAGACTGTTTTTTGACTCCCTCAAGTGAGCAATACCTCACTGATATAAAAAAAACCAAGCATGAATTGATTAAGTGTTCTCACACTTACAAAAGAGAGTTAATGTGGGGTAGGGACTAAACGGAATGGTTTACGTTTTGCAAGGTATTCGACTGGTTTCAGCCTATTTCGTCAACGATTATTAGTCTGCGCACCCGTGTTGTCTAGTAGTTTACGTCCAAGCGTAACATAATCAACGGTGACTTGATCCAAGCGTTTTATTTTAGTCTGCATGTAAAATTATATCGACAATATCGAAATGAGAAAATTGAGAGAGAATGAGGTGTTGGCATGGTATCTCATTTTTTAAATGAAATGCTACTCTATTCTTTTGACTCATATTTTCAAATTGTCATTGGTGAATATTTGGTTTTATTTGTATCCTTAAAATTTTCGCTAAAAATACACCTTAAATTTTTTTTTTTTATAAATGAAAATATTACTTTATTTTAAAAACATTTACATTTTTAAAACGTGGAAAATATCTGTGAAACCTTCTCCAAGCGATGACATCAATATTAATCTCAATAAGCTGTGGCTGTGTTGAAAGGAACTGTACAAAAATGACTACGAGGGGGAAAAAACAAGAAGCAAGCAATATTTGGTTTTAATCCATTTTTACATCGATATTTTAGGGTCAAATACGTCCAATTTTGAGCTTTTGGTTGCGCGTACACCACGCTGCACCACAGTAAAAACAAAACATATAAAGAAAAAATTAAAGTGCTTTGGAAATCAGTAAATTTGACACGGAACCATCTTAATATTAAGATATACATTACATACATTATATATACATTATATTACAAAACACACATTATATTTTTCTTTAATACATGTTTTCCCCCATCAATGTAAATGAGGATAATTCATGCAGAGTGTGCATCGTGCAAATATGAGTTGAAAAACACTGACTTCGCGAGTTTAAATATTAGAGTCAAACACAAAGCAGACGGCGGCGGCGGCGGCGGTGTGGCGTGTTGCCACTGCGGAACGCTCATCGGCGCCTACAAACCTAAATGGATACTTCACGCATCGCGCAGTGCTTGAAGTATCCCCTTAGGTTTGTAGGCGCCAGTGCGCACTTTGCGCTAGTAGGCCGCCCGCCGCGCCGCGCCGCCTCAAGCAACTATTTCACAACAGAGGTGTTGCACAGTAACATACGAAATTGAAGACGCTTCAACATGACAGGCATCCTTTGAGAGCAAGGAGCTTTCCTCACAAAAAATATCAAGATACTACGGCACCAAAAGAGAGCGGTAGTCCGAAAACTCACAAAGTCCTAGCATCCGTATTTAATAGCGTGTAGCATAATTTTTCAATTTCATTAGAGAAAAAAGGGACTCGATTTACGTGGACACATTCTTGAGGATGCCGTCAAGAAGATTTTATTTTGAATCAAGAACAAAATCGCTTTATGAAAGCGGGTTTCAGCTTGATGTAAAAGACTTTTATTTTTTCATCAGAAAATCATATTTCTTTAAACAAGCATTATTTTTTTTATTGATTTACAATAAAATCTTTTCGGCGGGAAATTCGAGCATATTTCTGCTTGCATCAAGTCACTCTTTCCTCTAATGAAGTTCAAAAATCATGCTACACGTTATTGAATACAGATAATAGGACTTAGTAAGGTTTTCGACTACCGCTTATACTTATTCTTGTCCTCGTCGACCGATTTAATTTGCGAGCGATTTAATTCGTGCTCTGGAAAGATGTCATTAATCATGATAAAAAGAAAGATGAAAAAAAGGAAGCAAATCCTCACTCTTCCAAGACATTTTACATTTTTATCCAAAAACGTCGTGAGCCATTGTCGAAATTAGAAGTGTTTCTTCATACAGTAGATGAGGCATATTAGTGCATGTTAACAAAGTAGGTGTTTTCTTGCTTTTCTGCTACAAAAAAGGAACAATGCAATAACGTTCATTAGATTCATATGTGACGGACTTAAGTGAGAGATAATTCATTGACGGAAAAAACTTTCTTCCAGTGCCGTGCCATCGTGAATAAGAATCTCAATTCTCGTTCCGCTGAATCTCTTTTGCTCTTACATTTTTCCAGCTTCTTCATTCGGGGAGTACAGACCAAAAAAAAGTTACCTGTTCCAACAACTAGAGAGCTTCTGACACAATAGTAGGCCTTTTTCGAGTTGTCCTTGTGAAATCGATCCTTCACGCTGTCCCACACAACCTCGGAGGTTACTGTCATTTGAAGCCCATAAGAGAAGAGGATTGCCAGCGCAATGAGTATTTTCACTAATTCTGAGATCCTAATGATGGAATCGAAATATATTTGTAATTAATATAAATTATGTATCATCATAAATAAATGAAAGGAAAAACTTCTTTCTTGTTACATTAAGTAACAAGAAAGATGCCTGGTCAGTTCTAAGTTAGTTAAAATTCCCCAGTTGATTTAACGGAAATTTCTGTCATGTTTAAGAGAAAAAATTGTCTTAATGCATGTTATGTAACCCAAAATTGCTCCGAACAGCTTGATGCATATTAAGCGCTTAAAGTCCTGGACGGACTGCAACGCACGGGAATTTTAACGAATTTGCATGACAATCCCAATAATTATCAAGGTATCATAAAAATGCGCATATAAGTATAAAAAATTTTGCTTAAGAATATTTTGCACAGTAATACAGTAAATCAAAAGTTATCAAGGCTGTCAGGAAAAGATAAATGGAGTGTTTGCGATGATTGATAAAGTATTGCTCCATTGAATTTTAGTCTTAAAATGTTCTAAGACGAAAAAATGGTACCTAGGGGTACCTGATTTGCACCAATCCACATAAGCAAGGTAATAGAAAATGTAAAGCCAGAGTATAAAAAAATCTGAAGAAGAATGGCAATCTAGTCTATTATAACAAGCTAACACCAAGTTTTTGTCCCAAAATCACCACCTCTCCCCCTAAAAGCATCTTCAGATTCCTCACGAATTTAGGTCAAACTAAACGTACCTCGTTCTTTCCCATTGTTCACCGGAACAATTTTTTTTTTTTTTTTTTTTTTTTTTTTTTTTTTTTTATTATGGTACGTACGTATTCTATTTAATATCTGATTTTAAAATTATCGTTTCTCTCAGTCATACGTCAGGTTCGGTTGGATCTTGCCCCCTGGATGCTTGATAGCGTTTAAATCTTAAACAGATCGAAAATTAGTTTTGGCAATCAGTTTTCTTTCGATCCTAAGATAATGGCGTTTAACTAAAAATATAGGCTGTACATGACTCCGTGAAGACTCACCAATCGTCTTGCATGTTTAAGGAGATGCTACCTTGTACCTCGTCACCGAATTTAAGGTACCCGAAGAACCCGACAATGGCGTTTGAAATCCCGATGCAGAACATCGACCAGCTTAAGACCCCGGTCCACCCCAGGAAATGATCGGGGTTTTTCATCTCATTTTCGGCCGGCAACACCTGATAATAAAAAGAACTACCGGTGAAATATTAATAAAATAAGTCGAGTATACATGTTGAGAAATTTGTGTTTAGGCTGAGGATAAAATAAAATAGCCTCACCAGCTTAGATGGGCTAGTTTTGCATCATTTAGTACAAAAACAGCCAAACATTCACTCCTTGACAGCAGCTCAAACTTTAAGGAGAAATTGGGAATTCGAGATGAACGCTGTTAAATTTGCTGGGGCTGTTGACACTCTTCAAAAAGATCCAGTTTTAACCCTCATAGCATTTATAACAATCCGAATAATGTCGTAAAACTCTGACTCAATGCTTTTGAGAGTACTAAAAAGTGTTCAGTATCGAAAAGTGAAAAGCGATGTATTTTCCTGTAGCTAGTTTCTGCATCTGCCTTTTTCATCTTTTAAGAGAGGAGGACCAAATCATCAACAATTTAAAAGAAATTGCGATTATTAAAGTAAATTGAAATTTTTTTGTCGGAATTAAACGAAAATAAGCTTGCGTCATTGCTCAACATGAACTTTTTGTAATGAAAAGTTCTCTAATTAGGAAACTGAAAATTCTGTAGTGATCAAACCCTATGTTTTTCAAAAAAGCATTTTCTCAACCTGCTAAACTCGATCAATTTAAAATAGGGCTGTCACATGTGTCCTTTTTTATCACAGAGAGGGAAACTCTGCTTACGGCTGCAACAAAAATTTACGATCGTGTTATTTCTCATGTAATGAGTTTCCTTGTAAAGTTAGAAGGTATATATGCTTGCCGAATACTTACAATTCCAATGCCCTCACAACCAAAAAGTATTGTCGAAATGAATAAAGGGATTTTCTCAATGGGAGCCACCAAAGGCCTAGAGGAGACAGGGGGTAAATCCCTCAGGATTCTACAGAGAATAATCCCGAGACCACCAAAAAGGCAAACGTTAGCGAAGGCTGAGAAAGGGGCCAAGAATTTCATGAGTTTGATAACTCCAACAGGAAGAATTATGATGAGAGCCAACAAAATGTACCATCGAATGTTCCATTGAGTGTCTATCCGAGTCTCGACGAGCTGAAAAAATAAGCTCATGATAAAATCACAAAACGATTTGATTACATTTTACACAAGCACCAGGAAAGACAAAACGCCTTCAATTTTGTGTGTATGCAATATAAACATCTTCAGAGCAGTATTAGTTTCTCGCGTCTAGGCGTTATCTTGAACATTACATCTATTGCGTGTTAAAAGGACTGCTCGATTACTGTCTCGGTTCTGTCTGCCAAAAACAACTCCGTTTTTCACAAAGGTTCAACCCTAAAACTTATTTGATGCTTATTATTTAAAATGTGTTACAATGCATGCATGACCATTATCAACGCATAATTCAGTTTAGGGTCTTAAAAATTATAATTTGCTCAAATTTTAGCGAGTATGAGTTACGGTTAAAGTATAATTGGATTTCATTTTGCAAAAAAGAACCAAGAGCATTCCAGTGTCGCTAAGATCTTGCAACTTTCTTTACCTTGCAATTATAAAATGAGCATCTAAACAAGTTTTATCTTCACTCTGAATAAAATAAATTCAAGACGAAAATTACGTTCGTAAATTTGATTATTTACATTATTTCAGTAACTTTATTGCAAAGAATGTAAGTTGCACAATCCTTGCAACATTGGAATGATCTTGGTTCTTTATTGCAAAATTCAATCCAATCATACTTTAACCGTTACTCATACTCGCTATAATCTTAGAAGAGTGTAATTTTTAAGGCCTTAAACTGAATTATGCGTTGATAATGGTCACACGTGCATTGTAAAAATTTTTAAATAATAAGTATGAAATAAATTTTAGGGTAGAACCTTTGAGAAAAACGGAGTTGTTTTTGGCAGATAGAACCGAGACAGTAATCGAGCAGTCCTCTTGACACGCAATAGATGTAATGTTCAAGATAACGCCTGGACTCAAGCAACTAATACTGCTCTGGAGATGTTTATATTGCATACTCACAAAATTGAAGGCGTTTTGTCTTTCCTAGTGTTTACCGCATAATCGCGCTCGCTTGATTTATCTTCTAAAGTTAAGGTACCCTCCGACAACTAAAACCCCATTTCCAGCATTTTTACTTGAGAAGTATTGCCAGGCTTTCTGTAAGAAAAAAGTTTTAATGTGGCCCCTATTAAGAAATATTGGTTTATCTCTCACTCTTACTTGAAAGCTGAACCGATGCTATCAAAAAATATTTTAAGAGAGCCACGGCCCCTTTTAAAAGGAAATACTCCTACGACGAAAAAGCTGTTGTCGATTTGTTTATTCGGATTTTTCTCTCTATTGGCACAATCAATGCTTATTTTAATATATATATATATTTTTTTTATAATAACGAACGCATTAAACATATCTTAATTTTGATATTTTTAAAATTTATCCTGATCCTTACAGGCTGATGACTCCTACTAAAATAAATGATACTTCACCGGAGTAATAATTGGATGAACTCTACAATGAGGGAATCAGTTCTAGGAAAAAAATAAATCAACAAATACACGAAAATATGCATAAAATGATTATTCAAAATCGGTTTTCCACTTACCTGCTTGATTGTTGATGCGATTAAGACCATATAAATTGTGTTTACACCATAGTAGGTGATTAAAGAAAACAGCTTTACAAATCTCCTGGAGAATAAGAATAAAATATCCTTCATTGAGATAAAAACCAGTTGAGTAAGAGCGAATGAGAAAAAGTTGGAAAATTAGATTTGAAAGATAAGACGAAACAAAATGCAAAATCCAACAATTTCAAAGCCCCCAAAATCAAGGCATGGAGGTATATGTTCAATTCGGATGACTAATGAGTTACAATTGAAAAGTTGACTGATCAGTTATTCCTTTCTCTGTAGCTGAAGCCTTCGTAAATGAAGAAAAAAGTGACGTTTTTGAAAAGTTTTAGACACACGTCAGGTTGACATTGTGGATGGGCCGCAACGTGATATAGCTGGCCGGAGCGCGACTTGTTGATACTGAATCCTAATAAACTGAAATCCAGCCGCAATAAATTAGAAATTGTTATTTTACTTAAAAATTAGGACTGGACTACTATCTTTTTGTGTGCGTATTCAGTTCCGGTCGTTATGATCAGATAACTGTAGAAAACCGTAAAAATTGACCGCAAAGACTGTGGCCTCTTACTCGCTTCATTTGATCTTCATATTTAACATTCATCAATTTATGTGTAAGCCAAACCTACCTGGCAAGACCACCATGACCTTTGGCAGCGGGTAGGTTTCCATATTCAAATGCATACTCGGCTGTTTCGAAATATGTCAGAAATGGCTTTTTTAACATGTAACACAATGTTTGAGAGTTCCTCACCTAAAAATTGAAAAGATTTTCTTATTATCAAAAAAATATACAAGTCAGCTTCGTCAATTATAAGTACACTTGCATTACTGCAGACAATTTAAGGTTAGAAATGCAGCAAAGTGGATCTAATATAATGTCAAACGCTGTAGCTGGAAGCATTTCGCACTTCAAAGTCGGATGAGGAATTCAACCCATTACTGTGCTTTACTGTGCCGTATTATGTTTAAGTGTATGCTTTTTCTTCGTCTTTTGGTGTGATATAAGAAGACCTTGTATCTCTAAAGATGAATGTGGATTAAATTCTATGTAATGCGAGAAATACTGATGTAACATTGAGTGAATTTAACAGAAATCATGTCAAATTTTGATCAAAAATGAACTGATATTGGTTTTGCGCTTATTTGCCTACACGTTTTTCCAAATGAAGAATTACAAGTTAGGAAAAAATATTTTGAACGTGAATGTATCTCTTCAAAACTACTTTTCTTGGTTCGATTTTCATGTGAGTTTTCCCCTATCGCTAGCCTCGTTCCTTATCAGTAAAGTTTCAAATTCGTGAATGACGCTTTAAAAAAAGTCCCATTCAACTGACTTGTCGGTGTGTTAGCATCAGAATTGGACGTATTTCTGCCAAATGGAACTATGTGTATTATGACGTGAGCCCTGTTATGCATATATTCTTATGGGTCTCAGGACTCATGTCTAAATGCACATAGTTCCGTTCGGAAGAAATACGTCCAATTAATAAGAGATTTTTACTTCCTGAACGACCAGCCCAAGGCTTTCTGTATGTATCTAGTGCCTATCATCGATTCATGTTTTCTTATTACCATAAATAGTGAACAATACATTTTCCAAGACTAACATTGGAAGTGAAAGGGACCATTTCTCTTCCTTCTTGCAGGAAAAGGTGATTTAACGAGATTTGACCACCGCCTATCAGTCAGTTGCTTTTAAAGTCAAATACCGATACTTTTTTCCCGTTTAAAAAAATTATTTCTTGCACTCTTAGTGATTTCATTTTTGGTCATGTATTAATGAGAACCGGTCTTTCTATTACGTGTCTATATCACCTGGAATCTACAATTGGACTTTATTTGGAACTAAGAAACCATTATTTTTGGCTTATTCCAAAAGTACCTAACTGCCAGAGAAACTCATGGTACGCGTGCTATTTTCGAATCGAGGCAAAAATAGTGCTTTTGTATTGTAAGATGTAGTTTAAACTTTTTATGATTTTTTCACACGCAGACCCGTGTTGAAAAGATTATGATGTTGTACTTAGCCTGCTTACAAGCATTGCGGTGGTATGAGTGATGGCCGCGACAGCCATTGCCGTGCCGATAAGACCCAAGGCGATTCCTGCATTTTTAAAGGCATCTGGTGTTGCTAGCAGCCCGGACCCCAGAGAAGCCTTTATAATATGCAAGAACGTTTCAAAATCTCTGGAAAAATAAATAATTGAACAAAATGAAAGTTAATTGGACCGCGCTCCGCAGAAAGGAACCACATCAGCTACTGCAAAATTTAACTGGGTTATTCAATCATTTCCAAGAGAATATTTGTACGGATTTTTCATTTTCGGAATTTCAAGGAATTTGTTTCGTACTATGCAGAAAATTCCTTGAAGTTCGCACAAAAATCCGCAAAACCGCTTTTATGTAAAAAATTAAATTGCCCAATTAAATTTGCCAATAACTGATGTGGCTTTGGTTCCTTTCTGCTTAACGCGGTCTAATTGTCCCTGTTGAATGAGTTATATACAGCTGAAACTCTTATTAATTCGACCAAAAATTAAATATCGGTAGAGGATGTCAGTAAAAGTTTCAAAAAATACGGTGCTGTA